CGTGATCGGTGATGAGACGGAGAGAGAGACAGAGAGAGAGAGAGAGAGACAGGACGGAGAGAGAGACAGAGAGAGAGACAGGACGGAGAGAGAGAGAGACAGGACGGAGACACTGCGGTAAACCTCCTCCTCCCCCAAACACCACCGACGTCACACATGCTCCCCTCCAACGCCAATCACACGGGCTCCATCAGAACAGGTCCCGCCCCCTGCAGGAGCTATGATGCGACCAGATATGATGACGTCACTCACGTGTTTCTCACACCATTTAAGAATCAACGTGACTTCAAAAACACGAAATATGTTTCTTATCTATACTGAATTTATCATTTTTTAAATATATTTTTACACTTTAATTCTAAATATTTTTATTTCATATCAACATTGAATTCATTTATTTTATATTATGTTATTTATTTGATTATTTTACACTTTTAATTATCGTAACTACAGCGTATTTATTTTTGCACTTCTGTCCACGTCTTTAAAGTTACTCGGAGCCAATCAGCTGTCAAAGATCCTCCTGATGGAAGTCACACCTGGTCCTGATCTGAACGGGTCCGAGGCCTGAAGTTAGTCTTATAGCAGTCGAGCTGTTACTTTTTTACAGGTGTTCACTGGTTATACAGGTGTATATACAGGTGTTCACTGGTTATACAGGTGTATATACAGGTGTTCACTGGTTATACAGGTGTATATACAGGTGTTCACTGGTTATACAGGTGTATATACAGGTGTTCACTGGTTATACAGGTACACACTGGTTATATAGGTGTATATACAGGTGTTCACTGGTTATACAGGTGCACACTGGTTATATAGGTGTATATACAGGTGTTCACTGGTTATACAGGTGTATACACAGGTGTTAACTGGTTATACAGGTGCACACAGGTTATACAGGTGTATATACAGGTGCACACTGGTTATACAGGTGTATATACAGGTGCACACTGGTTATACAGGTGTATATACAGGTACACACTGGTTATACAGGTGTATATACAGGTGTATATACAGGTGCACACTGGTTATACAGGTGTATATACAGGTGTATATACAGGTGCACACTGGTTATACACGTGTATATACAGGTACACACTGGTTATACAGGTGTATATACAGGTGTTCACTGGTTATACAGGTGTATATACAGGTGTATATACAGGTGCACACTGGTTATACAGGTGTATATACAGGTGTATATACAGGTGTTCACTGGTTATACAGGTGTATATACAGGTGCACACTGGTTATACAGGTGTATATACATGCTCTGGCAGAGCATGATTGGTGAATTGATGAATATTAAATATGACACTTTCATCCTGACCTTATCTTCTTCTCACATTTGTTATCACACTCAATTAGAAAAGTTAGACCAGATCAAATGTGGACCCAGCCTGGCTCAGGTCCAGGTCTGAACGTGGACCCAGCCTGGCTCAGGTCCAGGTCTGAACGTGGACCCAGCCTGGCTCAGATCCAGGTCTGAACGTGGACCTGAGCAGAGCTCAGCAGAGATGAATGAGTGAATGTAAGAAAGAAAGACGGACGACTCCACAGTGTGAAATGTTTTTATACACTTGTAAAAAAAATACACAAATTAAATAAATAAAACAAAAAGTTCAGTGAAGACCTGAAGACAACATCTGGTATGATTTGGTCCCATACAAATAAAGATTGAGTGACTCTGTTTTCACACAGTCACATCAGGGAGAACGCTGCCATCTGCTGGAGACAAGTAGAACTACAATCCTGACAGACCAGACACTTCAGGGCCGTCCAAAAGGAAACACCGAAGACACTCCCGTGCGCACAGCTAGCGCTTTTCTGCTCGGAAAAAAACGCCAGGTGAACACAAGGCCTTTGTCTCCGCAGGACCAGGAAGCATGAGTCAATGAGGTCAGGTAAAGGTTAGTGACCAGGTAACGGGTCAGAAAAACGGGTCAGGTAACTAGAATTTTCCTACAGAGTTACAGGTGATGTCATAGAGGCAAAGGTGATGTCATAGAGTTACAGGTGATGTCATAGTTGCTCTCTTGTTGGAGGTCGTTAAAGGTTGTTAGAGTTCGGGGTTCAAGGCAGTCCGTACTTCAGAAGTGGACTTGTCCTGGACCAGCTGGCCCTCCAGGGTCAAGGTTCCTGTAGTGCTGGATCAGGGGAGGGTCAGTCCACTGAGTTCTGGTCAGCAACTGGTCCACATGAGGTCCCAAGGTTCTGTGTGGAAGAGGGTACTGACTGATACCAGGGTCTTGATGAGGTCCATCAGGTCTGTAAGAAGTCCCTGTGAGTACAGATGTGTTCTGATCCAGGTCAGTCTGCTGGTCCTGGGTCTGCTGGTCCATGTGGTAGAGCTGCTTCTGAAGATCATCCTGGGGGTCCAGCCGAGTAAGGTACTGCAGTTTCTTGTGGTTCTGAATGTGACCCTGATCCTGGTGGTCCAACTGAATGTGGTTCTGTGGTTTCTTCTTATTTTGAACGTTTTCCTGGTCCTGCTGGTGTTCTTGGTTCTTCTGGTTCTGGTCCTCGCCCTGTTGGTCCATGTGGATCTGGTACTGCTGCTGGTTCTTCTGGTTCTGATCTGTGTGGTCTTGGTTCTCCTGAAGGTCCATCTGGGCATGGAACTGCTGCTTCTTCTGGCTCTGGATCTGGTTGTGGACCTGGTTCTTGATGTCCTTCCAGTGTCGTCCTCTGAGGACCGGCTCCAGGTCCAGACAGCGCTGACAAACCTCCTTCCCGGGTACCGACTGGACCAGGACATGGACTCCCAGCTGCCGCCAAACTGCCTCCTTCTCTGCGGACGACCACGGACGCCGGCGGACCTTCCTGGGAGAGACGAGGACTGAAAGACCAGCAGAAAGGTGAGCTCCAGGTGTGCAAAAGACCAGACTGTTACATGAACCCTGAACCACCAGAAGACTCACCTGAGGGGGGAGGGACCTGTAGTCGGGACTCTGGAGGAACCACACAGCTCACCTGTCTGCTCTGTGACAGAACTAGAGACAGACAGGTAGAGAGGCAGACAGGTTGAAAGACAGACAGGTTGAGAGACAGACAGGTGTTACAGAGGGATTAGGACTGAAGATTAAGTTTGAAGGTCATGAGTACAATCAGGGATCAGAGGTCATGTGGGTCACTTGGTTGGGGAGTTCAGGGGGTAAGTGATGAGTAAGGTAACAAGTCAGAACTCACCGTCTGGTCCAGACTCTTGACCCTCTTTCTCACTTCCTGATTGGACCAATTGATTCTTCATCTTAGCTCCTCCCTCTGCAGAAGAACACAGAACATGTCATTCACTAAAGTTCCTCTGGTTCCTCTTTTTAAAAACATGATGGATGGCGTGTTACCTGTGTCTGGATCAGGTGTTGAGTTGTTGGGGGCAGGGTCTTGCAGGCCCAGTTTGTCCCATTCCCTCCCCAGCATGTGGTAAAAGTCGGTGGTCTTTGCAGCGGTCTCCCAGTCTCCGTCCTGCAGACTCTCTCCGATGGCGATCTCGCAGACAGTTTTCAGGGTCGTCTTCACCGCCAGTGGAGGGCGGGTCCACCTGTAACCCGACGCCTTCCTCGCCGCAGCCAGAGCCAAGCTGAGGCGACCTGGAGCCAGAAGGTCCTGGAGGGTCCCGACCACCGGGTCCAGAGATTTAGCGGCCAGGAGGAACCGGCCCAGCTCCCTCAGCTTCTGACTGACGTAGTCATACCTCCGCCCGCTGCCACCCGGGCTCCCCATCAGCTTGTTACCATACTTACAGATCAACCAATCAGATTTCACCTGGAACATGCAGAGAGACAGGTGAGCACACACACAGGTAGATGCAGGCCGTATAGCACGCAGACAGGTAGAAGGACACACCTGGTGCGACACATGGTCCTGGTTCATGCGGTGCAGCACCTGGCTGCAGCTCTCAGAGGCTCCGCCTGAGATGGGGAGCAGGCGGGACGCCGCGGCCTGGATCCTACTGCGCTTCTTTGGCGTGTCCGCTGAGGACTCAGGAGGCGGGTCCTCTGGGGGGGTCCTGACGTCTGCTGGGTCACCTGTTGGGTCACAGGTCGTGTCCTTGAAGGGGTCAGATGTCTTTTCGGCTGTGGAGGCGGAGTCTCTGGAGGGGTCAGAGGTCAGCTTCTTGCGACAGGAGGCCTGATGTTTCCAGAGATCGGCTCGCAGGAAGAACCCGAGGCAGAGCGGGCACGGCAGGTAGTTCCTCGCATCGACGTCCTCAGAGGGCTGACGCCACGGGACGATTTCCCCAGTGCCCTGTCTGATGACCTGAGAGAGAGACAGACAGGTGTGGAGAGAGACAGACAGATGGAAAGAGATCAACAGGTGGAGAGAGACAGACAGGTGTGGAGAGAGACAGACAGATGGAAAGAGATCAACAGGTGGAGAGAGACAGACAGGTGTGGAGAGAGAACAAGGTAAACAGTCAGGTAAACAGGTAAACAGACAGGTAAACAGACAGGTAAACAGTCAGGTAAACAGGTAAACAGACAGGTAAACAGACAGGTAAACAGACAGGTAAACAAACAGGTAAACAGACAGGTAAACACAAAGGTAAACACAAAGGTAAACAGACAGGTAAACAGACAGGTAAACAGGTAAACAGAAAGGTAAACAAACCTCAATGTTGTGCATGTAGTTGCCCCTGCAGCGCAGGTGTTCCAGCAGCAGGTGGCGTTGTTTGGAGCCTGTGGGCAGAGCGCTTGCAGCCACCACTTCCTGTTGGTCTGCATGTTTCCTCAGCAGGTGACGAGCAATCTTCACCTGCGGCCGCCGACAGAACACGCAGTAATGTTTCTTATCCCACCGCCGTTTCCCGTCGCTCCACGTCCTCTTCACGGTCACCCCTTCCTTCTTCTCATCATGACCACGCCTCTTGTCCTTGGGATCCCGCCTCTTTGGTGTGGGACCACGCCTCTTGTCTTTCTGACTCCTCCTACCTGCCGTGGAGGTGGCCCGGCGGGGTCGGCGTCTGGCGGGCTTTGTTAGCTCTTTATCAGCACAGGAGGTTAGGTCAGAGGCGTCTCGTTTGTTTGCCATGGCAACCGCTTTGTGGTGACAGTGTCTCCACGGTAACAGAGCACCTGATGATAAGACAGACAGTTCCTAACTATACCTTACATATGGACCTTAGCGTTATTTTACTGACAGTCCCTAACTGTACTTTGCAGACAGCCCCTAACTGTACTTTACTGACAGTCCCTAACTTTACTTTCAGACAGTCCCTAACTTTACTTTTCAGACAGCCCCTAACTGTACTTTACTGACAGTCCCTAACTTTACTTTTCAGACAGCCCCTAACTGTACTTTGCAGACAGTCTCTAACTTTACTTTTCAGACAGCCCCTAACTTTACTTTACTGACAGTCCCTAACTTTACTTTTCAGACAGCCCCTAACTGTACTTTGCAGACAGCCCCTAACTGTACTTTACTGACAGTCCCTAACTTTACTTTGCAGACAGTCCCTAACTGTACTTTGCAGACAGTCCCTAACTTTACTTTCAGACAGTCCCTAACTTTACTTTTCAGACAGCCCCTAACTTTATTTTACTGACAGTCCCTAACTTTACTTTTCAGACAGTCCCTAACTTTACTTTTCAGACAGCCCCTAACTTTACTTTACTGACAGTCCCTAACTTTACTTTTCAGACAGCCCCTAACTGTACTTTGCAGACAGTCTCTAACTTTACTTTTCAGACAGCCCCTAACTTTACTTTACTGACAGTCCCTAACTTTACTTTTCAGACAGCCCCTAACTGTACTTTGCAGACAGTCTCTAACTTTACTTTTCAGAAAGCCCCTAACTTTACTTTACTGACAGTCCCTAACTTTACTTTACTGACAGTCCCTAACTTTACTTTTCAGACAGTCCCTAACTTTACTTTTCAGACAGTCCCTAACTTTACTTTTCAGACAGCCCCTAACTTTACTTTTCAGACAGTCCCTAACTTTACATTTCATACAGTCCCTAACTTTACTTTTCAGACAGTCCCTAACTGTACTTTGCAGACAGTCCCTAACTTTACTTTTCAGACAGTCCCTAACTTTACTTTACTGACAGTCCCTAACTTTACTTTTCAGACAGTCCCTAACTTTACTTTTCAGACAGTCCCTAACTTTACTTTTCAGACAGTCCCTAACTGTACTTTGCAGACAGTCCCTAACTTTACTTTTCAGACAGTCCCTAACTTTACTTTTCAGACAGTCCCTAACTTTACTTTTCAGACAGTCCCTAACTTTACTTTTCAGACAGTCCCTAACTTTACTTTTCAGACAGTCCCTAACTTTACATTTCATACAGTCCCTAACTTTACATTTCATACAGTCCCTAACATCACAGACAGACTGCGGCCACATCTCGTTTCTTTGATAAGATATATGTCGAAACTGGCGCTTCCTTGTCTCTGCTTGGACCCGGTGTTATGCCGAGAAATGCATCCCTGTCGAGAATCGCATGCAACTTGCAAGACAATTCAAAATTTTAAAACAATTTCACTTTCTACACTGCTCTCGAAGCGCTGCTGGTCAACATGAAAAGGAATTATCTGTGTGGGAGTGAAAAAAAGAGAAAGTGCTGGGACACTGGCAGACATAATTTGGCTGAACGCTGGTTGGAGGGGCCCCCAATAATTTTTGTTTAGGGCCCCGACAGACTCTAGAATCGCCCCTGGGTGCATTTCTCCACAGGGGTGCATTTCTCGGCGTAACACCGGCGCTGCTGATGACAACACGGCGGTATCATGTTCTTCTCTTTATTCACACTGACTCCATCGGATCAGAGTGTGTAAACATATTGGAGTTTCCGGAGGGTGTGTCCGATAATAGAAGCCTATTTACCTACAGACTAAATGCTAACAACTAGCGGAAGGAGCTAAAAGCATTTGAGGAGCTAACCTGTAGCTAACACGCACCGTACTGTAAATAGAGCATTAGCCGAAGCGAGCAGAACATCAAGCCTGAGTCAGAAAATGAATCAAAAACACCTGAAATGTTTTTTTTTAAACACCTGAGATGTTCCTTACCCTGCTGACAGCAGAACTCCGCCTCTTCTTCTCCGGATGGTCGTTCCTTACAGCGACCGGACAACAGGAGATTTTGGTCGCCAGCGCCCCCTGCTGCTTCGGACATATTGATCTAAATTCTATCCGACCAACTTTCAAGACTTGAAATTGTCCTGACAGAAATGAATAACTAATGTGCTCTGAAAAAGGAACAAAGAAAATCTGTCATCTGTATCAGCTGTAAGCCTGTAAAAACTTCAGTATCAGTCGGTAATGTGATCCATGCTTTTGCACCAAAAACACCAGAAGCATATCCTTCCTTCTCACAGCTGTGTGTATCTCGGAAAGGCTGAGTACATGTTTTCATTCCATTGCACAACAGAGGGTGCAGCATGTCCCGTGGAAGACCTCCACACAGAGTCCATTCCAGCATACTCAAAAATCCAATGACGACAGTAATTTGTCATTCCCAGAAAAGATAGCAGGTCTTTCTTGGTCCTCGGAGGGGACATGTTTGCAAGGAGGTTGACTCTCTCAGGGGACAGCAGCGTAACACATGTCCCAGGTATTTAACCTGAGGCTGACAGTACTGCACTTTGGTCAGAGAAGCTCTGTGACCACACTCAGCCAGTCTTTGCATCAGCAACACAGAGTCAATTTGGCAGTCCTCTCTCGAAGGTGAAACGATCAACAAATCATCAGCATACTGCAACAAGGTGCTTCCACCAGATAGTTCCAAATCAGGCATGACACAAAGTGCATAAATTAACCAGTGATTCTGAAAATCCCAGTGGAAGCCTGGTGCATGTCAGCTTTCAGCCTTTGAATTTAAAAACAAACAGATACTGGCTATCTGGATGCAGAGGAATGGAGGAAAGTCTCAGTTTACATCAATGACTGTATTGTACTTTGAATCTGCACGCATTGCTGCCAGAATGGAGTTTGCATCCGATTAAATCTCCACTGAAAGCACAACAATGTTATTTATAACTCTGAGAGCTGCACAAACCTGAATTCAACAGGGCAGCCTGGCTTTGGGTTTGGCAAGATGGGAGTGTTACATGGGCTGATAGTTTCAACCATCAAACCTTTATCAAAAGGGATTGAACTACAGCATCGATTCCTGTAATTGATTTCTTTGAGGCAGAATGTATTGCCTAATATTTGATAGTTTTGCATTAGCTTCGAGTTTAACAACATGAGAGAGTGTTTCAGATTCTCTGAAAATTCAAAAAAAAACAACGTATTTTTACTTTTAAACAAAAGTAAATCAAAACTTTCTATCTTAACAAAAGTTCAAACTGAGAAAATTCATAAAAAGTCAAATACTGGTACGTACTGGGAAACACTGACACCGACATCCAACATCTAACAACTAAGAGGGAAAGAACACTGAGACTAAATAACCATGGGGTAAACAAACACAGGGAAAGACAATGAGGGCAATCAAGACTGGAGGGAAAACATACAGAAATGAAGACAATACAAGATAAGACACACTTGGACAAGAACTACAATATGAATCACAAAACACTAAAGACACAAAGAACTCAAGAATTTAACAATACTCCCTACAAAAGAGAAACTTTCCAAAATAAAAACATGAAATACGAAAGACTAAACTAGGAACTTTAAGACAAAAAACATTACATTTAACCAAACAACACTGGGATAGATAGTCTTTAAAACAAAGAAACCTAAACTCTGTCATAGACCAAAATAAAAACAAAATAAGACCAAATCATAACAATCTGTGTTAACACGAGCACTGTCTGTTCAGAGCCTTTCTCTCTCCTGTTTGAGTGAGAATGCTTCACTTCTGGGTGCTCTGTGTGTCTGTGAGAGTAACTCCACCTCTTTCTTACTGAGTGTGTGTGACTGTCAGCCTGCCCTGTTCTCTCTAACTCTCTCTTTTCTGACGAACAATCCCAGCTTGGATTACCGTGAAATGGAATAACATTAACTGCTAACTTAATATTTTCTCGTTCCATTCTAACTTTGTCCATTCACACATGAGAGATGAAAACGGTGACACACACTTCCAACCTTTCTCTCTTCCTACAACTCCTGCAGGCATATCAGAAGGGTGTATCTGACTGAAATGTCTGTATGTGTTCCACCTAAGGGTGATGTGCTTTTATCTGTAGCAGCATTGTGTGTGTGGATGTTCTATGTGTTTTTGTTTATCTTTACTTTTCACATGTTTGTTTTGAGATTCAGTTTTATTCGCTATTGTGGACTGATGATTCCCCATCGTGCATAAAGCAATTATAGCATTAAACAAAACCAGCAGCAACAGGCACATACAATCAATTCTACAATTCACTTAGCAGACACTTTTCTCCAAAGCGACGTACATCAGAGAGTAAGAACAACACAAGCAAGGATCTAGAAAAAAGGGAACAATGTGAGTAAGAGCAAACGATCAGCTTTGAGTCTGATTGGACACACAGGTGCTGACAGGAAGTGACCAGAGGCAAAGCACAACATTGAGGGCAGTTCTTGAGAGCTCTAATCAGTATAGAAACCATCTTATAAGTCGTCGTTATCAAACAAAAACCATCGTCATTACCATCATCATCATCAATAATATGGAGACCATCATCATTAAGTTAGTAGGTATTCATGAAAGAGCTGGGTCTTTAGCTTTTTCTTAAAGGTGCAGAGGGACTCTGCAGATCACATGGAGTTTGGAAGTTCATTCCACCACCGGGGGGCGACAGAGGAGAAGAGTCTAGTCAGAGACTTAGGACCCTGTTGTGAAGGTTGGATCAGACACCTTTCATTGGCAGAGCGTAGTGGGGGGGGGAGTGTAGACCTGGATCAGAGAGTTAAAGTAAGGAGGAGACGTTTCTGTCCCTGTTTTGTCAGCGAGCAGCAGAGTTTTAAATTTGATGTGAGCAGTAACTGGGAGCCAGTGTGAGGAGATGAACAGCGGAGTGACATGTGCTCTTTTAGGAAGGTTGAAGACCAGTCGTGCTGCTGCATTTTGTATCATCTGCAGAGGTTTGATAGTGACTGTTATCGCTCTGACGTCCCTATGACCACAGAGTCTTACGTCCCGCCGGACACAGATTCACCTACTGGTCTTACCTATATCAAAATGAATTCTTAACAATCCACCCCGGGACATCTCCCCTAGGATATAAGTTCACAGTTTGATCTTATCTGTGTCAAGTCACAGCTGGCTCAGACCTCCGAGACACCCCCGCAGGATGCTCGACAGCCCAACTCTCACCAATTTGCAAATACAAGCAATCAATGATTCTCAATCATTTATTCAATTTGTATTATATGCAAATATTATTAAACAGCATGTTGTCAAGCTTACAATAATTTCAGCCGAATTACAGTTTCTTTAGGTATCGTCAAACTCAGACATGGCAGTAGCAAAGACTAAAAATAGTTTGCACTTACCAGTCCGTGTTTGTAGATATCCTGTTTCATGACGCCAAATTGTTGAAGAAATGACTAAGACTTGACTCCACACATTAAGACTCAGTTGACTCAGATGGCTTACGTTGATGAAAGTTTATACATCAGATGAATACTCATGAGGAGACATGATTCAACTTCACACACATCTGTTTTGCTCAATCACATCTGCCTAGACGAAAATGTGACGTCAATAACACTAGAGCAGACAATAGCATCAGTATCAGTCAGTGTTAGCATCAGTATCAGTCAGTGTTAGCATCAGTATCAGTCAGTGTTAGCATCAGTATCAGTCAGTGTTAGCATCAGTATCAGTCAGTGTTAGCATCAGTATCAGTCAGTTTAAAGGTTGAAGTCTTTAATCAGATTACTCTGGGGGGGGGGGGGGGTGTCATGTAAATCCATCAAAGTTCTCTTTATGGTGAACTACTTTAATGACGGCCCCTAACTTTACGTCACTGACTGATCCTCGGTTTATTTTATGGACAGCCCCACCTCCCCTTTACTGATGGCGCCTACTTCTTTTACAGACAACCCTTGATTTTGCTATCCTAACTTTACAAAATGCCCTTTACTTGGCTTTACTTACCTTTTTTTTATTTACTTTAAGGATGGCCCCTATCTAAACTTCACAGGCGTCCCATTATGTTACTTGACAGACGGCCCCTAACTTTTCTGTTCAGCTGGACCCTTACTTTTCCTCAGACACAGCCCCTAATTTCACTTTACAGAAGGTGCCTACTTTTTACAGTTGGCCCCTAACTTAAATTCAAAGAACCCTTCTTATCTTACTTTACAGGCGGCCCCTAACTTAAATTCAAAGAACCCTTCTTATCTTACTTTACAGGCGGCCCCTAACTTAAATTCAAAGAACCCTTCTTATCTTACTCTCCAGACGGCCCCTAACTTAAATTCAAAGAACCCTTCTTATCTTACTTTACAGGCGGCCCCTAACTTAAATTCAAAGAACCCTTCTTATCTTACTTTTTACAGACGGCCCCTAACTTAACTTGAAAGAACCCTTCTTATCTTACTTTTTACAGACGGCCCCTAACTTAACTTGAAAGAACCCTTCTTACCTTACTTTTTACAGACGGCCCCTAACTTAACTTCCAAGAACCCTTCTTACCTTACTTTTTACAGACGGCCCCTAACTTAACTTCCAAGAACCCTTCTTATCTTACTTTTTACAGACGGTCCCTAACTTAACTTCAAAGAACCCTTCTTATCTTACTTTTTACAGACGGTCCCTAACTTAACTTCAAAGAACCCTTCTTATCTTACTTTTCAGACAGCCCCTAACTTAACTTGAAAGAACCCTTCTTACCTTACTTTTTACAGACGGCCCCTAACTTAACTTCCAAGAACCCTTCTTATCTTACTTTTTACAGACGGTCCCTAACTTAACTTCAAAGAACCCTTCTTACCTTACTTTTTACAGACGGTCCCTAACTTAACTTCAAAGAACCCTTCTTACCTTACTTTTTACAGACGGTCCCTAACTTAACTTCCAAGAACCCTTCTTATCTTACTTTTCAGACAGCCCCTATCGGTCACACCTGGTTTCTGTTAGCACTTTCTGTTTACACCATTACCATGGAAAAGACAACATCTGAGACGTCAGAGGGTGAAACTAAGCAGACGGAAGGTGGAGACTTTGTGAGCCTAGGCTCCGCCCACTTCCGGCAGCTTGTTCACTTAAAAAGCCTCTTGTGAGTGGAGATTCTCGATCAGTGTGATTGGTGAGGTTGTGAGGACGACATGGACACACTTCAGGTGAGTGCAGCTTCTTTTTTTTTTCCTTAACTCTCTCTCTCAGTTTAATGTGAGTTATGAAAGCTAGTTTATCTGGTTTTTAGAAGGCTCCAGAGCTAACTGTTGCTATGGACAACAGCTCTAACTCTTCTACTTCTACTGATGGCTCCTAACTTCACAAATCAGAAGAAACTGATCATTTTTAAAATCAATATTTTGTGTTGAATTGTTGATTTCATTTAATTAAGGTGTGCTAATCTGAAGTAATCAGGTTGTTGTAGAGAACCAATCTGTTCAGGAAAGCCTGACGCTGTGTCGTACAGCGAAGTAGGTGTGTGTGTGTGTGTGTGTGTGTGTGTGTGTGTGTGTGTGTCTGTCTGTGTGTGTGGAGGGGCAGGGTTTCCTCAGTTATACAGGTAAAGGGTCAGAGAAATCTGTTGCTTGGAAACAGATCAAACAGTTTTAAGGCTGCAGGGTCAGACTAACAGGGACCAGGATCTGACACCTGTCTGTGTTTGGGTTCCAGGTGAGCCTGGCATGTCTGCTGCTGAAGATGAACTTTCACCCTGTCACTGCCCATGTGGTGGTGTGGATCGTGCCAAACTGCCAACTGTGTCCACAAGGTAACAAACCGATCAGACGAACCTCCGTCAGGGTGTAAAACCTGGAACAAAAGTGATGACTGTGACCGAGTGTGTGCGTGTGTGTGTGTGTGTGTGTGTGTGCAGGTAACTTTGTGAGGCAGAACTGTACGATCCTTAACATGAAGTCAATTGGAACACAGTGTGCTCCATGTACAAACTGCTCAGGTAAACACACCTGAGCAGGTGTTCATTTGCTCATTTTGTATATTGATGATGTCATCGGCAGGTAATGTACAGGTGTTATAGATCACCGCTGCCTCGTCAGAGTTTACCGCTTTCTTTTAAAGCTGATCGATTGATCTTGTGTCGCGCAGCGGCTGATCAGGAAACTGTGATCGGGTGTTCGGCGTTCGCTGATTCTGTGTGTCGAAACAAGAGCGCTGCTGTGGCCACTCCATCGTGCAGACCTCCTGAACCTGCAGGTAAACTCACCTGTCGCCAGCATATGTCACTTCCTATTGATGACCTGTTGAGTTCTGCTTGTTTGATGATGTCGTTGATTTTCTCGTCCTCAGCCTCCACCTTGAACAAGAGGATCCTCCTTCCTATCATGTGAGGATCAGCTGTTCTTTAAGCTTCTATGAGTTGTTATGGGTCGTTACCATAGCAACTAATTGAATAAATCTGTGACTTAAGGTGAAGGTTAACTGACATTGTTGGTTGTATTTGTCTCTGCAGAGGTCTCTCTGTGTTATTGGTTTTGCTGCTCGGATTGGTTCTGACCCGGCTGTCCTGCCGATGCAACAATTACAACAATATCAAAGGTAACAAGCCCCTCCCACGACTACCAAGCCCCTCCTGCTACTGCCAAGCCCCTCCCACTACACCAAAGCCCCTCCAACAATTGACAAGCCCTCCACACTGCTTGACAAGCCACTCCCACTATCTGACACACCTGTTGTTCCTTCATAGGTCTGGATCTGCTGTAACTGATCAGATCCAGAATGAGGGTCTCTATGGGTCCAGGGTCTCCAGGTGAAAACCAGCACAGATTCAGTCTACATGTAGTTAAGTTTTATTCCAGCTGTGGTCTAGCTTCCAGTCCAGGGTGCACCTAGCCTCTTGCCCAATGAAAGGAGGAGCAGTTTAGATGTAGTCCAGCTGTAGTCCAGGAGCAGTTTAGATGTAGTCCAGCTGTAGTCCAGGAGCAGTTTAGGTGTAGTCCAGCTGTAGTCCAGGAGCAGTTTAGATGTAGTCCAGCTGTAGTCCAGGAGCAGTTTAGGTGCAGTCCAGGTGTAGTCCAGGAGCAGTTTAGGTGCAGTCCAGGTGTAGTCCAGGAGCAGTTTAGGTGTAGTCCAGGAGCAGTTTAGGTGTTGTCCAGGTGTAGTCCAGGAGCAGTTTAGGTGTAGTCCAGGTGTAGTCCAGCTGTAGTCCAGGAGCAGTTTAGGTGTAGTCCAGGAGCAGTTTAGGTGCAGTCCAGCTGTAGTCCAGGAGCAGTTTAGGTGTAGTCCAGGTGTAGTCCAGGAGCAGTTTAGGTGTAGTCCAGGAGCAGTTTAGGTGTAGTCCAGCTGTAGTCCAGGAGCAGTTTAGGTGTAGTCCAGCTGTAGTCCAGGAGCAGTTTAGGTGCAGTCCAGGTGTAGTCCAGGAGCAGTTTAGGTGTAGTCCAGGAGCAGTTTAGGTGCAGTCCAGGTGTAGTCCAGGAGCAGTTTAGGTGCAGTCCAGGTGTAGTCCAGGAGCAGTTTAGGTGTAGTCCAGGAGCAGTTTAGGTGTAGTCCAGCTGTAGTCCAGGAGCAGTTTAGGTGTAGTCCAGGAGCAGTTTAGCTGTAGTCCAGGAGCAGTTTAGGTGTAGTCCAGCTGTAGTCCAGGAGCAGTTTAGGTGTAGTCCAGGAGCAGTTTAGGTGTAGTCCAGCTGTAGTCCAGGAGCAGTTTAGGTGTAGTCCAGCTGTAGACCAGGAGCAGTTTAGGTGCAGTCCAGCTGTAGTCCAGGAGCAGTTTAGCTGTAGTCCAGGAGCAGTTTAGGTGTAGTCCAGGAGCAGTTTAGGTGTAGTCCAGCTGTAGTCCAGGAGCAGTTTAGGTGTAGTCCAGGAGCAGTTTAGGTGTAGTCCAGCTGTAGTCCAGGAGCAGTTTAGGTGTAGTCCAGCTGTAGACCAGGAGCAGTTTAGGTGCAGTCCAGCTGTAGTCCAGGAGCAGTTTAGCTGTAGTCCAGGAGCAGTTTAGGTGTAGTCCAGGAGCAGTTTAGGTGTAGTCCAGCTGTAGTCCAGGAGCAGTTTAGGTGTAGTCCAGCTGTAGTCCAGGAGCAGTTTAGGTGTAGTCCAGCTGTAGTCCAGGAGCAGTTTAGGTGAAAGTCCAGGAGCAGTTTAGGTGCAGTCCAGCTGTAGTCCAGGAGCAGTTTAGGTGTAGTCCAGGTGTAGTTTAGGTGTAGTCCAGGAGCAGTTTAGGTGTAGTCCAGCTGTAGTCCAGGAGCAGTTTAGGTGCAGTCCAGCTGTAGTCCAGGAGCAGTTTAGGTGCAGTCCAGCTGTAGTCCAGGAGCAGTTTAGGTGTAGTCCAGCTGTAGTCCAGGAGCAGTTTAGGTGCAGTCCAGCTGTAGTCCAGGAGCAGTTTAGGTGTAGGCCAGATGTTGTTAAGGTGTAGTCAAGGTAGAGTCCAGGTGTAGTCCAGGTAGAGTCCAGGTGTAGTCAAGGTAGAGTCCAGGTGTAGTCCAGGTAGAGTCCAGGTGTAGTCAAGGTAGAGTCCAGGTGTAGTCCAGGTAGAGTCCAGGTGTAGTCCAGGTGTAGTCCAGGTAGAGTCCAGGTGTAGATCAGAGTAGTTTAGGTTAAGTTCAGCATTCACTATATTGCCCCCCTTTTTCATCCAATCAAAATGAAGAACAGCCACTCACCTGTGTGTAACATAACAACATGTCATGACATCACTTCCTGTTGAATGCCAAGCTGTGTCTGAAACCCCACACAGAGGTACTGCATACACTAACAGTATAAACGGCATGCTAACCTGGCTGTTAGCCGTTAGCAACATACTCGACTTCCTGTCTGAGCTATAGAAGACAAGCTAGCTTCGAGCTAACGTGACGTTGCTCAGTAAATAGAATTTTACAACAATAAAACATCCACGTAGTCATTTTAATATTACATGGAAACATAAAACAACATATTATAGTATTAATATTCTGAGAGCCACAATGCATTGTGGGAGGGTTTGGTATGACAGATGTGCTCCCGTCTCATACTGAAAAAAAATCTGGCTAACTAGAAATCGCACACAGCCCTAACTCTGTGCTTTTGAGGATCTTTGATTATTCAGATTGTTTCAGAGATTGAATATACAGACAGGATGTCTCACTCTGCTGGTGAACTCTGGTTCTGCACCAGCAGAGTCTGGCTTCTCCAGGACTGGGTTATGCGGTCTGGGTCCAGGTGTTGACCCCCGTTCAGTCCCTGAGACCTGTTGGAGACTAAGGTTTACCTGTGGCTTTATTTTAAGGTGTGATTTGAAATGACGCTTTAAATATAGAGTGTCCAAATCTAAGCCAGTTTTAACCACAAGCACGTCAGTGAGCTGTAACCATGGTAACATCAGTGAACTGTAGTTGGTGTGTGTTGTTCTGTTATTGATGTTTTCTATACTTTCAAATAAAAGAAACTGCATAAAAAAGAAACGTTTGTAGGCTGTCGTCTGTCTTTGAACACAAAGGAGGGCGTGACCGCACTCACCTTTATCAGGTGTAACCATGGCAACAAAAGGGAAGCAACAGACACTTTGACCCTCACACACGCAGAGTCACCATGGTGATCAGTGTAATCAGGAACCTTTATTGATACTTGATGACGTCATCAGGCGTCATCCTGTTGAGACAGACCAGCTGTTAAAGTTTCATATAAAACATTATTACTTTAAGAAATTAAAATAAAAACACACAAACAAGACTCTTCTACGGAATCAAATGAACGAATCACAACTAAATATTAAAGAATATCACATTTGATCAATA